CCAGCAATATGGTGCTTATGATAACTGTATCGTGGTCATTACCAGTGTATTTTTCTAAAGCAAATTACGTTGTTCTTACCACATGCCCGGAGCATTTATATTGTGTGGTAAGGATATATTATCATGTTTTATTGATCTGCTGAAAAATATGTTATCAACACAAGAACATTTGTGAATGAATGAATGAATGAATGACAGATATGTAATGTGCTGCGACATTCGCTTGCTTGCCGTTACAGCGCCCTCATCAAATGGACTGTGGTCTATGACTGTAATGGGTCATGGGAATATCGATACATATCACGTAAATGTATCGTGTGCACTCGACGTCATTACAGAAAACTTGTAAACTTGAAATTACCATAACATGATGCTATCCACTTTTGGCTTTTGTTATATTAGGTCTGCTGCGACCACTGCTTTCGATTTCAGTTTTGTTTTGATCGTTGATATTATTGTAAGTGAATTGTGAATGGAGGTTTTATATGATCACCAGGTTGTCACGCTTAATTTTATACACAATGAGCGTATGAGTTTTTTGTTGTCAGAAATTAGTAGTTCTTGATGTCGATTGGCAGTGCGGTAATCAACGACTGTATCCAGTTAAATAAAAAATACATATATTTTATAATTTTTAAAAAAGAAAAAAAAAATGAAGAGGCTCGTTCTAAGTTATCTATTGCTTGGATGGATGAATGAATCCACTACACAGTGGATACTGCATGGTGACAGTTTGCCAGGAACTGGTGAGATGACATTATAGTTCACACAATGATTATGGCTGCTCAATCCTATTTTCCGAAATACTCTTGTCACTGGTTATCAGTTGAATAATTAGGCGGCTCCATGTGTGGCTTATACGAGTCTCAGAGGTATCTACTTTTATTTAGATAATGTATGGTATAACACTAAACACAATAGTAATAATAGTCAAGCTAAAACTACCCGATTCAAACTTTGCAATATGAAACGCTGTAGTATCATAGGAATACATCATGTACCACGTACATGCATATATTGCGTGAGCCAAATTTAATTTTAGAAAAACGAATAAACATGTATTACAGCAACAAACATGGGATTCAAAACCGCGATCATGTTTGTTCACTTCGCCATTCATCATGTTACACAATTAGTTTGACAGATTTGTAATACCGTCTTTCACGATAGATGCAACTGTAGTGTATTCGGTATGTCATTTTAACAATACACATATAGATGCAACTGTAGTGTATTCGGTGTGTCATTTTAACACATACACATATAGATGCAACTGTAGTGTATTCGGTATGTCATTTTAACAATACACATATAGATGCAACTGTAGTGTATTCGGTATGTCATTTTACAATTCACATATAGATGCAACTGTAGTGTATTCGCTATGTCATTTTACCAATTCACATATAGATGCAACTGTAGTGTATTCGGTATGTCATTTTA